ATGTGATTTGCCCAAACTTAGGGGAGGAATTTGAGGTAGCATCAAGGACCTCTGAGTCTTATCTCTTTTACCAAGTTTATCGCTCTCCCTCCCTACACACACTCTACCCTCAGCTCTACTGTTAAAATTATATTTAATCCAGTATTTTAAAGGGAAGCTCAAAGGGGACCTGGGTGGCTCTGTCATTTGGGTGTCTGACTCTTGACTTTCACTCAGGTCATGATCTCAGGATCGTGAGATTGAGCCCTGCATTGGGCTCTGCACTGAGAATGGAGCCTGCTTGAGATTTTCTCTCTCCCTCTCCCCCTTCTGCCTATTCACACTCTCCCTCAAAGAAAAAAAACAAAAACAATGAAAGAGAAACTCGAAGCATGTAATTTTGTGTTTTTTGAGGTGTCAGTCCTCATTCTTAATTAGAAATCAAATGAAAGTTCATTTTTTTCTAGAGTAATTTCTTTTATATTGTCGCCAGTGTTAGTACTGTTGTACACTGAAGCTCATGTACTAGTTCTGTTCTGATAGAATCAGAGAATTCTGTTCAGGATTCAGGTAGTATCCTGATACTACCATGTGATAAGTTAAATAAAATAGGGAAGGATAGTCCTACTAATACGATTAATCCTAAAAATATGGTTACTTTCTTCTCTCCTTGATAAAAATTGCAAGTCAAATGTATTTATCTTTCCTAAATTCTAAAGAGCAAAATGCCAGTAGCAACCAGAATTTTCATCCCAATGAGTCTAAACTTAGTACACCTAAAAATGAAACAGGGTAATTAAATTATGGGCATAGGTGTAAATTTGGGTTAAGTTGGAAGTGGGAAGTAACCTGCAGAGGTAATAAGGTTACCAGTAGGACAGAGGAAATTAGAATATAGTAGATATGTGCCCATTTAAAAAATTATTTATTTGGGATGCCTGGGTGGCTCAGCGGTTGAGCGCCTGCCTTTGACTCAGGGCGAGATCCTGGAGTCCCTGGATTGAGTCCCACATCGGGTTCCCTGCATGGAGCCTGCTTCTCCCTCTGCCTGTGTCTCTGCCTCTCTCTCTCTCTCTCTCATGAATAAATAAATAAAATCTTTTTAAAACATTGTTTATTTTTAGGAGCACCTGGGTGGCTCAGTTCAGTCAGTTAAGTGTTTGCCTTTGACTTCGGTCATGATCCCAGGGTCCTGGGATCAAGGCCTGTGTCAGTCTCCCTGCTCCTCAGGTGGAGGTCGGCTTCTCCTTCTCCCTCTGCCTCTTCCTGTTTGTGTTCTCTCTCAAATAAATAAAGTATTTTTTTGAAAGTATTTATTTTTAAATTGTGGTAAATATATATATAACAGAATTTACCATTTTCTTTATTTTTTTATAAAGTTTACCATTTCTTAAAAGATTTTATTTTTATTAGATAGTGCACACAAGCAGGGGGCAGGGCAGAGAGAAGGGAAAGAGAGAATCTCAAGCCGACTCCACACAAAGTGCAGAGCCCAACATGTAGCTCGATCTTAGGACCCTGAGATCATGACCTGAGCCAAAATCAAGAGTTGGACATTTAACCAACCGAACCACCCAGGCATCGCTGAAGGTTACATTTTAATCATTAAGTGTATAGCTCTGTGACATTAAGTACATTTACCTGGTGCAACTATCACTCTCATCTATCTCCAAAACTTTCCCTCTTGTAAAACTAAAACTTCATACCCATCAGACAGTAAGTCCCTATTTATCCTTCATCCTAGCCCTTGGCAGCCACTATCTATTTTCTTTGTTTATGAATTTGACTACTTTAAGAACCTCATTTGAGTGGATCATTATAGTATTTGCCATTTTGATATTGGCTTTTTCACTTAGTATTAAGTTTTCAGGGTTCATCTGTGTTGTAGCATGTGTCAGAATTTCTTTCCTTTTTAAAGCTAAATAATATGCTTTTTTTGTATATCTTTACTACATTTTGTTTACTCATTTACCTGTTAATGGACATTTGCATTACTTTCACATTTTTTTTAAAGATTTTATTTATTTATTCATGAGAGACAGAGAGAGAGAGAGAGAGAGAGAGAGAGAGGCAGGCAGAGACACAGGCAGAGGGAGAAGCAGGCTCCATGCAGGGAGCCCGACATGGGACTCGATCCTGGGTCTTTAGGATCAGGCCCGGGCTGAAGGCGGCGCTAAACCACTGAGCCACCCGGGCTGCCCCTACTTTCACATTTTGGCTACTAGAAATAATGCTGCTGTGAACATGCCTATACAAATACCTGTTTGTGTCTCTGCTGTCAGTTCTTTTGGATATATACCCAAAAGTGGAATTGCTGAATTATATGGCAATTCTACATGTAATTTTTTGAGAAACTGCCAAACTGTTTTTCACAGCAGCTGTACCATTTTACAGTCTCGCCAGCAGTGCACGAACATTTCAGTTTTCCATATCCTAGCCAACATTTTCTGCCTTTTCTGGTTTTTTTTTTGATAATAGACATCCTAATGGTTGTGAAATGGTATCTCATTGTGTTTCTGATTTTCATTTCCCTAATGTTAGGGATGTTGAACATTTTTTCATATGTTTATTGGCCAGTAGTATATCTTCTTTGGAGAAATGTCTATTTGACATTTCTTTTGGGACATCCCGTTTTTTAAACCAAGGTAGCAACCCCTAAAACTGCTCATAACTTTACAGAAATACCATATATATATCATTTTTAATTGCCAACTAATACTGGTAACAAGTGAGTAATACTAAAGGAAAATACTTATCCCATATATCTAATCAAATTTTGTCTTCTTCCTTTATATGTTTCAACCGTCTCTTCCTCTATGTTCCTATTAACATCATCCTTTTCCATGTAACATAATTTCATGTTTATATTACAGTTGTTTGTGTATAAAAGTGAATAAAAAAATAAAAACATATAGTATGTGCTCAATTTAATAACATATTTTAGCAGCGGGCTTAGTTCTAATAGATCTCATAAAATCTTCTGCTAGATTTCTTCTTTACCTTTCCCCCTCAGTTCAACAATGATTTATTATGCACAGAACCTGAGATCTGAGTTTCTGCCCTTCATGCTGTGTGACAGTGGGCACGTCACGTTAACTCTTCCATATTGGATGAATTAAGTGATTTCTTATATTTCTCCTAGTCACATCTATTTAATCTTTTAGTTTACATGCCTGAATTATCTGAAAACCATATCATCTACAATAAATCATGTTTTTAGATTCTCACTAAACTGTTAAAGTGGGAAATAACACTCTAACCTGGCTCGCTTTCTTGTTTACATTTATATATTTCCTTGGGCTTCTTAGATCAACCCTAGGACCTAAACTGGAAATCTAAATCCAAACATTTAGTTACTTTCTCTAAGAATTAATCATCAATAATAAAGCAATATTTTGAACGGTTAATATCAAAGTAGGGTTTGCTTCCTTCTAATAGGTAGTATTACATTTTAGTTTTTAAAAACAAAGGATAAAAAATGATGTGCTGTGTACTTAGGTTTTGTCTTTTTTTTAAGATTTTTTATTTATTTATTAGAGACAGAGAGAGAGAGACACAGGCAGAGGGAGAAGCAGGCTCCATGCAGGGAGCCCAATGTGGGACTTGATCCTGGGTCTCCAGGATCACGCCCTGGGCTGAAGGCGGCGCTAGACCGCTAAGCCACCAGGGCTGCCCTGTGTACTTAGTTTTTGATTTCTACTTTTGAAATTTTATAAAATACCAAAATATCTCATACACCTAAATAGAGCACTTTATATTTCAAAACTAAATATATATACTTTTTTGGGAATCACTTGCCATTGTTATTTGTTTATACCTCTATTCTCTTCTTGCTTCATTGAGAATTTACATTAATTCCAAGTGGACTTCTAAAAGATATAAGTAAGTTTTCAAAGTGATTTAATTAATCTCAAGAAATAATGTTATGTGATAAGCTAATGTAGATATAATAGCAAAAGAAGTGAGCCCATTTTTGATAGATTAAATTTTTGTATTTAATATTTACTATTCCATAGTGATTGTAAATTGTCCATCTCCTATTTTTTCTTGTACTTGTCACTTGTTTGAAAGTCAATAGTCAGAAAAAAAAGTCTATTTATGAATAGTCCGTTTCTAAGATGTATAAAATTTTTGTTTTCTATAATACAACCTTTACAAAGTAATCCTTTTTTCTTTCTTTCTTTCCTTTTTCTTTTTTTTTGCTTTATGCACAAATTCTCTAATATTTTAGATAGAGTAATTTCTATTTCTTAGGGATCAAGAAAAGTACTTTTAACGTTGCATTTGTCACTGGGAAAACTAGTTTTAATTTATATTGACCTTTTCCTCCTTTGAGCATTTAGTCTGCATTCAATAAAATGTTGATGACTGCTCTTTAGAAGACAGCTGTACGAAATAAAGTATTATAAATATTCAGCTTTCCTTTCTAAGCATTGTCACCAACAGCTGGGCATCCAGTTTAGCAGAACAGATTTTGCACAGAGAGAGCCTGGCATGTTCCTGAATCAGTTTAGTGAGAGAGACAAAAAATAGTTTCTTATGGATTGGGGACTTATAAAGACAGAGCATCTGTTCCTCAGTTAAGTCATAGTCTGGTAACACTGAATCATGTTTAAAGCTAGAATAATGTGCAAAACTTTTTTCACCTTGTTCATACTTTAATACCTAGTACATTATTACCGCAAATAATATGCTTTCATCATCTCCATTAAGGGAGTGTAAATTATTTTGTCCTTATTCATAATTTTTCATTAGTGATATTTTAAAACACAAATATATTAATATTTACTAAGATTATTTCATAATATGATTTTAATGCTTGAAGAGTACAATTTTGAAATATGCTATTAAATTTAGTTTCATCATCCTGAAAATTGCTTTGCTTTCATCATATAATATTCTGCTTTAGTTGGCAAAAGCAACTCAGAATCTTTGTTTATATATATTGCTCTTAAATATATAGCTGCCTAAAGCATATAAATCTAACATTTTTTTAATATATATATATATTTTGTTTGCAGTGTTAGGAGATCACTGAAATTGGATCATCTACTAGAAGGAAATGTAAGTATTTACCTGTGAATTTGCAATTGCATAACAAGTGTATTTTTAATTTTTTAACAGATTTACCTTAATAAATAGAAAAATTGTCAAAAAACATTCTGGCATAATTATGATTGCTACACCATTTTCTACATAAAATGGTTTTTGTAAATCTAATGTATGGAAGTTCTTGGCCAGATTGAGGTTTTCATTTAAGAGGCAAATTATTTAGAAACCTTAATAAAGTAATTCAGTAGAAATGAATTTACTACTATTTGTGGAAAAAAATATTCTGCTATATAAAGGCACAAGAAACAATATGGAACAGTGGCAGTGCTTTAATCTGCATTCTCTAATCTGCTAAATTGAAATAAAAACATTAACAGCATTTTTATATCAAAAATGTAATTACCTCCCTCAAGCTATCCTGGCATAATTAAACAATAAAATACTAACACTGTAATAAATTCCACCGTGGTTGTCACAATAAAAATAAAAATGTACTGTTGCTATTACTTTTTGTAAATCTAGTCATAGTACATTGCCACTGCCGGCATATCATGACATATGTTGGTTTATTATCTTTTCATATCAACTATAGAGTTAGATACAAATACTAATATTGAGATACTTATGGCCTCAGTAATCTTAAATGCAAGTAAATTGGTGAGAAAGTAAATTAAAACAAATAGTCAATAAACAGCGCTCTTACAAAATCCCATATGAGGATGTCATTTCAAGAAATGGGTGTTATATGGAATTTCCCTTTGGAAGACTCACTGTTATTTAACAATTTACCATTTTTAAAACTTCCTAGATGCTTTTAAAAAAAATTTAAACAAAAGTGGCAAAATAATGCAGTGCCACTAAGAAAATCGTTAGCAGTGTAATTAGCAGTTTAGAGTACCATTATCCTACTTGTTCTGTACAGAATGCAGCTGTGACTGTAATTCTGCATCTGTTTCTTTGGTCAGAATGGTATTTTGGTAGAGGAGTAGTCCAGCTTCAAATGAAATACTGTTCTTTCCTGCCCCCAAACCGTTCTTTGGGAGATGGTAACAGTATTTGAATAGCAAAGACTGGCTATTTAGGAATTCATCCTCTTTGTGAAGTACAATTGTCATCATGGCAGGCTTTTTATCCATTTTTACTTCAGATTAGGATAAGTCAAGGTAGCCAGTGCCACAGCTAATATCCTGTATTAGAAAAATACATTGTTGTGTTTGGCTCAATCCTATACCTTTAAACCAAAGGGATTTAGCTTAATTTAGCTTGGTATGGCCACCTCTGTTAACTGCAGGTTCCTAGCATCTAGCCTGGGCCTTTCTTCAACATTTCTATTTTCTGACCTATTTCTGATAATTTCTGCTTTTGTACTCTGACCTCATTGTTTGTTGGCAGCTCTATATTCACAACTTACAATTGGCAGCTTTCGTTCTGGTGTTAAGTCTAAAATTCTCTCTTTAACTGCATTTATGCTTGCATCCACTCCAATTACAACTTAGCCCTGAAGCAGCCTGGCTCCTCAAGTCTACCCTCATGTCAATGATCCTGTTGAGGCTGCCTTAGCCCATGCAAAGAAAAATCAGACATTCAAGACATAATATCTATAATTCTAAGAGTACCTAATTGCTATAAAACTGCAGAGGAACTAGTAGTAACTTTATGGTCATTTTGCCTTACCAGTATCATACTGAAGGAAGAAGACTGATATCCACAGAAGGGAGATGGCCCTTATATACCAATTGGTTAAAGTGGAGCCTATTCATTCTAATCTCCTCTCTCAGAGATCTTCGAAACTCCCAAATCCCAGTGTTCCCAAAGCAGCTACAGACCTTCATGGAGATTAATGCACCATGATGTTAGGGCAAGTCTGCAAAAGTCATTTTCCTTATGAGTCTCCTAATGGAGAAAACAGAGGTATGAATCATCCCCTATGACCTTCCTTTAATATCTGGAAAGCATATGACTAGTACCATTTTTTGCCAAACCTCCCAAATTGTTGGGGGGTAGTGAGGAGTAAAGAAGGTTCCAGTGTATCATCACCTACAGTATTTGAGCTGCTCAAGTTATTGTCCTCCAAGAACTGTTTCTAGATATATTTTCAGAAATGAAGATGAATTTTATTGCAGACTGCTGCCAACGGCAGTTCAGATGAATTTACCTACCTGATCATATCCATGGTCTTATTCAGGCCACCTCGGAAGGAATGGAAGAAACAGATGCTACAGATAGGAAGAGAGGGAACATACTTCCTACCAAGGCCAGCTCAGTAGGCTTGCTGCTTGAAGGAATAGCTAGTTGGGAGGAGGGAAGGGAGGTTTGCTAACTTAGACACAGATTCCCAGGCTAGATTACTCCATTACTATTGGTAGAACACTTCTAAGTCTGATTATTCCTGGAACCTAAACTTGTCTGATTTCTCTGAGACAAGACTTCTGCCAACTCCTGAAATTAGAAAGAACTTTGAATTTTAGGGCATTAGGAAATTTTATAGTTTACATTCTGTAGTCTTACTGATCTGGTTCAAAATCTACTTTCCTCTCTCCTTCCCTTCCTCTCCTTCCCTTCTTTCTTCCTTCTCCTTTTATTACAGAAATTTTCAAACATAAATAAAATAGAATAATAGGGGATCCCTGGGTGGCTCAGCGGTTTAGCGCCTGCCTTTGGCCCAGGGCGCAATCCTGGAGTCCCGGGATCGAGTCCCATGTCGGGCTCCCGGCATGGAGCCTGCTTCTCCCTCCTTCTGTGTCTCTGCCTCTCTCTCTCTATGTCTATCATAAATAAATAAATAAATCTTCAAAAAAAATAGAATAATAAAAGGAACTTCCATGTTCAACAATTAATAATATTTTGCTAATTTTGGTTCAGATATGTATGTATGTATATGTACTTAGGTGTATGCATGTGTGTATATCTGTATATTTTTTCCTGGCATGTTTTACAAGTCCCAGATACGTCATTGCATCAGAAAATTCTTCAGTATATTATTTTCAACAGATAATGGCTTTTTATAACCACAGTGCCATTATCATACCTTACAAAATTAGTAGTAATTCCTTAATAGTATCTCCTACACAGTCCATATTCATATTTCCATGATTGTTTCAAAATATCCTTTTATACCTGGCTTTTTAAAATCAGGCCCCAAGGGCAGCCCCAGTGGCGCAGCGGTTTAGCGCCGCCTGCAGCCCGGGGTGTGATCCTGGAGACCTGGGATCCAGTCCCACATTGGGCTCCCTGCATGGAGCCTGCTTGTGTCTCTGCCTCTCTTTCGCTCTCTCTGAATGAATGAATGAATGAATGAATGAATGAATGAATGAATAAATAAATAAATAAATAAATCTTTAAAAAAAAAAATCAGGCCCCAAACAAGGCTTATACTTTGTAATGTTTCTTATATATCTTAAGTCTTTTTAAATGTTGTTAAACTTCACCCTCTTTTTTTAAAAAAGTATTTTTATATTTTCTTTTGAGAGAGGGAGAAAAAGAGAGCACAAGCCAGGGGAGAGGCAGAGGGAGAAGTAGAAGGAGACTCCCTGCTAAGTAGAGAGCCCATTGTGGGACTCGATCCCAGGACCTGGAGGTCATGACCTGACCTGAAGGCAGACGCTTAACCATCTGAGCCACCCAGGCACCCCCACCTTCTTTTTTTGTACAGTAGTTTATTTTTTGTAAAAACCGAGATATTTGTTTTATAAGCATATTTCACATTCTGGACTTAGTTGATTTGTTTGCTGTGATGTCCTTCAAATTCTCTATTCTTCAAATTTCCTATAAAACTAGTAGTTAACGTTAGAGACTTGATTAGATTCTGGTTCAAATTTTTTATAAGAATACTTAATAGAAAAAAAAAGAATACTTAATAGATAGTCTGTGTGGTTTCTACTGCATCCCCTCAAGAGCACAAAATGATCTGATTTTGGGGTTCGGATATTAATCAACCTGATCCACCCATAATAAATTCCCCATTAATCTTTCTTCAGGTTTTTTTTTCATTAATGATTATTTCCTAGATCCTTTATTTCACTACAGTTACAGGATAGTGGGATTTTTTTTATCTTTTTATTATGAAGAATTTCAAACAGAGACAAAAATAATGCACTCCTGTTCATTACCCAGCTTTGATAGTTATTAATACAAGGCTAATCTTATTTCATTTATACTCCCATACGTATGTCAGTACTCCATACTAGATTATTTTGAAACAAACCTGAAATATCATCTATAAATACTTCAATAATTATTTTTAAAAGATAAAGACTTTTTATTTTTTTATTTTATTTTTAGTTTCTTAAAAGATTTTATTTATTCATGAGAGACATACAGAGAGAGGCAGAGGCAGAGGGAGAAGCAGGCTCTCTGCACGGAGCCTGTGCAGGACTTGATCCCAGGACCCCAGGATCATGACCTGAGCCAAAGGCAGATACTCAACCACTGAGCCACCCAGGCATCCCAAGATAAAGACTTTTTTAAAACTATAATAGTATTATATTTCTCAGAACTGATGATAATTCCTTAACCATCAAATGGATAGTCTTTGTTCATATCTTCCAATTATCTCATGTAATTTCTAATAGTTCTTTTAATTCAGCATTTTTATTGAGATATAATTCATGTAACATTCATCATTTTAAAGCATACAGCAGTAGTTTATCTTATACTCACTATTTTGAACAACCATCACCACTATCTGATTCCCCTGCTCCTACCCCCCCAAATCTTACATCTATTAGCAGTTAGTTGGTCCTAATTTCTTCCTCTTCTCTTTCCCTGGCAATGATTTACTTGCTGTCTCCATGGATTTGCTCATTCTGGACATTTCATATAAATGGAATCATAGAATATGTGACCTTTCATGACTGACTTCTTTCATAACATTTTCATGTTTCATCCTTGTTGTTGCATATAATAGTACTTCATTCCTTTTTATAGCTGAATCATGTTTCAGTTTTCTTAATTAGGTACCTAGGAGTGGAATTGCTGGGTTACATGATAATTCCATCTTTAACTTTTTAAAC